ATCTGTATGTTCTGTTCCACATTTCAGGGAATGGCACACATAATTCCATTCCACTTCCCGTTTATAAATGCCATGGTGTACTATATATCTGTGTGTTCTGCTCCACATTCCATAGCACTTCTGCACACCGCGGTACGGAGGGTAGTTGTGGTGTGTGCACATAGGTGTACACACATACATATATGTACACGTATATATGCACAGGTGTGTGTGTGTGTGTGTGTAGATAGTATATACACCACTTACATATACCATTTATCTATAACATTTATTATACCACAAACTGTGTGTGTGTATATATCACACTATATCACACACACACTCTATCTATGTGTGTATATATATACACACACACGCTGTATGTATACACACTGTGTGTTCTGTGCCTGTGCTGAGGAGCCCTGCATCCAGCATTCTTTAAGCCTTACTTTCAGCCTCCTGCCCCGCCAGCTGTGTTACTGATGCAGTGGTGTTTTCACGGCGCAGCTCACAGCACCGCACAGGGGGACAGGCAGAGCAGGTGGGTGCAGCGGCCCCGGCAGGGTTTTGCCTCTTTTCGGTGCCCTTTGAAGGATTTTCCCCACTGCAGAGTTCTGCATGGAGCAGTTTTTCTCTCTCTCTCAACCTTGGCTAAACCTGTGCTGCTTCTGAGAGGAGCGAGGAGAATTGCTGAGTGCCCACGGCTGATTCACAAAACTGTTAGGCTGAACCCTGATGTCATTTTGCAGCTGAACCGAAAGCAGGAAATTCTGGCAAGGTCTGAAAATGGACAATCCAAAGAAAGAAAGAAAAAAAAAAACAAACACCAAACAAACAAAAAAAAATCAAAAACAAACCCCAAGCCCAACCAAACAAAGCAACAAACAAACAAACAAAAGAAAACTACATTTAGGCATTTACTTCCTGCATTCTTCTGGCCACTTTTTAATTTTAACCTCCATAAATTGAGTCTTATCACTGGAGAAAATATCTCAATACCACAGGTTTTCTCATTATTTCCTTTGTCTAGAATTTGGTTAGGGATAACAAATATTTGGGTTTATTTATAACAGAAGTGCGAAAATGCCTATAAATTTCATAATTTATAAATTCCTGTAGAGCTTAGTTTTTTTAGAAAGATAAAGACAGTCTCCATGTCAGAATAGCAGCCATTTTGCAAAGTGTTGGTAAAGGAAGCAGTCTCGCTCTGAAATAAAGGGAGGAAAGAGAAATTTTAGTTTGAACCTATAGCAGAGACAAAACGAATAACTTTCTTAGTGCCTTTCTGCATAACTTGCTTTAGAAAAAATACTTCCTCTTCCACATGAAATGCAAGGACCAAAATGGCTGTTCGGCTCTCGGTGAATCATTAAACATCATTCAAAAGGGCCACTCGAGAAAACCTTTTCATTAAATACACAACTCCAGTTTAAATCACAGCACATAAATAGTTCAATGAGCATTTAAAAACTTTCAGCTTAAATATGTTGATTCATATAACATAGTTTTAGCTCTCAAAATTCCTGGAAGACAACTCCTCTACATACTGGCACTTAAAATATCTACAAATTAAATGCTACCAGTATCAGCGAACAGTGAATATTGTAAATAATAGCAAAAATAGTGATGACTACTAATATAGACCTAGTTTCATGTTACAATTATCTACTCAGTGACTCTGTCTTTCTGTCATTATTTCACGTGACTGTACCACTAAGAAACCCCACTTTGATTTCCTTGGAGGAAAAAAGACCCATTAAGGCGATATTTAAAACGAACAAATAAACAAGAAAAAACGATCGAAGTGCAGCCAGCTCCCTGAACCCATCTGGAAGCGGATTTTATAGTACTACTTCTACTCTTGAGTACCGTCTAGCACAATTCGTTTTCTGACAACGGTGCCTGGCTAAACTTGTCTGGTATTTATTTGCAGGAGGGCGATGGCTCCCAAAAGCTTTGTGGCCCCCAAAAGCGCACTGTTGTGTCCAGGCACCTGCCACTGCAGTCCGGTTCCCATCATAACAATAAAAATTTACCGAAAACCCGAAATCCCCCCCAGTCCTTGTCCCCCTCCAGCGTGACAGGGGAAGGTTCCCTCTACTTAGCCCCCACCTCCCGGTGCTCCGTACCTGGAGCGGGGTCCTCCCAAAGGAGTTGGTCCCGTTGGGATCCGCGCCCGCGTCCAGGAGCCTCCGCACTCCCTCGAGGTCCCCGCGGGC